GAAATCACAAGCAATTTTTTTGATCTTAAAGTGTAAATATCTGTATCGGCGCCTACCAAGAACGATAGGTTGTCCAGTGCCTTGTCCCTGCTCGATGAGCTCATACTCCACTCTGAAACCCGAAACTGTGTCCGAGGCAGAAACCCAGGAGATGACGAAGCTGCTGGAGGTAATCTCGGTTACAGACTCTGAGATGTCAACCACAGGTGGAAGAGGGGTGGTCTCGCCTTGTGTTGTAGCCACTACAGGGAAAGTCATTGATTGGTTATTCAGGACAGTCCCATACACATTCCTCCAAAACCATCAGTGACTTCGTTAACTTACAGGATCCATAAGTGGTGGTGAAGTCAAAACGTGTGACCTCTTTGCGCCCAAAATGCAGCACGCTGATCAGCTGACCCTCGTAGGTGATGCCGGGTTTCAGACCGGAGATGGTGTACGAGTTTAGATGGCCAGGAATTGCAACCTCTCTCCACGGGCTGTGAGAGTTTTTCTGTAAAATCACATGAGATGTAAGATCTGAGGGACAGTTTACAGGCTGACATTGTTTTAAATGGTTAATTAAGTTTAGGCCAATCAGGGAGGAAGAGGAAACATCTCCAAAAAAAACCTTACCACTCTCCATTTAAGGATGTACTGGGTGATGTGTGCAGACGACTGGGCGTTCCACTGAATAGGGTGGGAGTCTGGTTGGTTTCCAGATTCTGCGATGATCACCTGGACGGGGCGGTGACCACCTGAGACAGAGACAGAGCTGCTTTACCACCCGCTGTGCAGTGAGTGACCAGTGTGCATTTCTGAGGAGAACAGGCACATCTGTGCTCCAGTGTGGGATATAATTTTGTAAAACCAATAGCTTTACATAACCCAGTTTAACAGCGAGTGGGTGTGTGGGAGGATTTTCCTGAACACGGCAGAGAAAAAGCGTGAAAAACTAGCAGGTCTGTGTGAGATTCCAGCGCAGACTCTGCTTTCTCTCAACAGTTTCTGCTTCCACCATAGTATAAGATTTTTCCTGTTGTCTCAGAAGAAGCTAAAAAAGTGCAAAAACACTTTAAAAACTGACACTAGTATGAAGCTTGTAATTCTCACACAGTGTAATTTGACATACAGAACTTATTCTTCCACTATGTAGTCTCTTTTTCATCCAAGAAACCAACAAATTTCCCCATATTCACCCAAACAACAGCTACCACCTGAGCCGTCGCATTAGTGCTCGTCTGTGAGGGGACAACATCGCTGTGGTGAGATCTGGTGGTCATTACACCATCTGAGAGAAAACTGTAAGGGTTTGAGTGTGCACTATAAAAAGCTGCAGAAGTGTAGGAGTTCACCGAACAATGCACAAATTATACAAGATGACTTTGCAGGTTAGAAGACACAAAAGAAGAGAAGTGGTATAAGCAGAGGCAGAAATCCAAAGGGGATATATCGAGTCATTCTGAATGTAAACAGAAGTCATGTGGTGCGCAGACTCCTGACATAAGCTGGGCTCATTGAAACTGGTAGCTTCTATAAAGAACTGAGGTTTTCTAACCGCTTTTTCCAAACAGCAGACCTGTAATCACAGTTTCTGAGCAAGTGGCGTGGTTAACCATAAGTTTCTAGCAGATACGCAAACCTCAAAAACAATCTGGGACCTATTACTGCCTATTACAGCCCCACAGGCCACTGGCGAGGGTAAGGGTTATACAGAATCAGATGTGGGAGGTGCACGAACGGATGCACGCTCACTGCAGAGCGGCTATACAACGAGCCTCACTCTCCCCAGCTTTACTTATGTCTCTTTAATGTACAAGCATGTGCATGCAGACCTGACCCTTTACTTTTCACACTTAGACACAACATTCATTCTTGATACCGACAGACGCACCGCGAGGTGGTGATAAGGACAGCGGCAAAAGGAAGTCGTTCTGGGAGTCATCCTAACAATAAGAAATGCATCAAAAGATTCAATTACACCCCAGACAAGAAGACGTAAACAAAGATGGCAGACAAGAAAACATTTTTTTCTAGATCTTATCAATGCATGTGCCAAATCAGAAGCTTTAGAAAGTCCTTCAAGAGAAATCTGTTGCTTTTCCATTTTTACCTTTTATGGTTTTTCACAACCGAGTTCAAGTCTGGATCTGGTTCCTGCTGCCCTTAAATCTTAGCATGCTGTATTTTGTATGCCAAAGAGCATGCATGCACATGTACGCACACGCATACATGCACGCACACGCGGAACTAGTTCACAGCTGGTTGCGATTATGGCCACTTACGGTAGAACGATGCCCTACATTTCGTATCTTCTGTCAACCTGCTTCAGATACAGAGCAAACCAGTAACAGTCCATTTAAACCTGGAACAGTCACCATTTGCACAAAGTTACAGCCTCACTTGGAACTAACCTGATAAGTTTATCCAAGCTGCAGGAGATGGAAATGTTTCTGCTCCTCGAAACACTAAAGCCACCACACAAGCTCACACGCATGACTCTTTTCTTTTATAGAGTTGGAGAAAAGTTTGGAAAAGCACCTAAAAAACATTAAACGTGCACAACAGACACAGCGGAGTCTGTTATGAAGGTAATAGTGATAGATTATAAAAGGAAAGTGTACTAAGAGGGAACTTAAATCCAGCTAAAATCTGTGATTTTGAAAGGTGTATGCTGAGATTACGGTCCAGGTAACTGAATGTGAAGTAACGTCTCGCTCTGAGTGACGCTGGTTTAAACCTTACGAGATGAGATTTGAATTAACGTGACACCAAAATCCACAAACTGTTGTTCCTGCTGTTCAGGGAGCTCGGTGTGTAGTAGGTGTGTCTGGGCTGGATACAGGCTCTGCACTGTGGCGTTTGGTACAGCTGTGGCAACAACACAGGGGCTGTACCACATGCTGGCAAGAACAAAGGCTCAGAGTGGGGGGTGCACTCGTAAAAGAGGAAATCACACCCACTCCCGGCTCTGTCTACTTCACATCAAAGTCAACAGCCTCTTTCCCAAAGGGACTTGAGCAAACATTTTTCAAGAGTTGGAGCACAAAGTGATGCTGGAAAAGGTGCCCAGGTGAGGAAAAAACGAGCATGCTCGGGACAGGCGAGGGTGTGATAGTCGTCATTTAACCTTTGGCCTTTACAGCTTCCTGTTATTCTTTGGACTTTTAATAAACTGAAAATGTATTTTAAGCTGAAGTAAAATAAATCGCACTCAAAAATATTTGTATCACAGTCCTGGGAATTTTCCTTTGCTCCTGCTGTTACAGCCGCACGTCAGCCCAAAATATACGAACAAAAGCACATTTAAAACCTCACCAGGGTACGTCTGCTGGGGCTCACAGCTCAGCTCTCCAACACCATTGCCATAGCAGTAGCACTTGTACATGATTCCATGGATGACCTTATCCCAGGAGTCTCCAATCTGATAAAAGGCTCTCGTCTCTGGTTCCTGGCACTGGTCTGAGGGCACAAAGCAGAAGTGTAACAGCATGCAAAAAACACGGGCACTGAAACTCATGAAACTCATATATATTTACAGTTCAGAGCCTGCACTCACTGTGAGTTATTATATTTTAACTACTAATAAAAATTAAGAGGATTCTCAGCCCATTTAACAAATACGCAGCATAAGCTTAGTCAATAAGTCGTGTCTGTTCTTCGACCCTACAC